GTTGCATCAGGTATTGACGCTGTATCAAACTGATTCTTCTGCATTTAACTTAAATAGCTGTCAGCGGCAAAGGGAGTGGAGGGTGGTCAAGATTTGCTACATTCCATCTCAGATTTAGAAATCATTGTAAATATATACTATACCGGACAATGATCATCTATTCGAGACGTTGTAATTCCTCTTGTTGAACTGAAACAATTTCAGCTTCTTCAGGGCTTAGCTGAAATAGTTTTAGTCTCAAGAAACCAACAATTGACGAAACGTCCGCAAGTTCAATTTAAGTTCAAGATTTGTAAATAGTGCGTTGTTCGAAGTTCTCTTGTTTTCAATTTTTAATACGCTTTAGAATTTACAACCTTTTTCTAATTTAACTATTTGCCAGTATAGACAATTTTTTTTATTCAAATAATAAGCTTTATCTAACCGAATATTAAAAACGAAGATGAATAGTAACGAACTTGACTGTTTCACGGATGCGAGGGTTCGAAACCAAGCATGTCCTGGGCGTACCGTGTCACGCCCATTTCCTTTTGTCCATCACGTGCGACGCGCGGCAAGTCGAATGCCTCAAGAGTCGAGCCGCTTCTACCGATTCCGAATTTTAGTTTTCCGACATTTAATTAGGAACATGTTGCATCCAAAACATAATTCAATTGCGTCTGGAACTCGAGATGCACCGATCCTTTGATGATGAAGAGAGGACAAGGATAAGGAATGTTGAAAAACGATCGCGACGATGTTATATTAGAATTAAAAGGAAAAATATGTAAAAAATTATTCGGAAAAATCAATGAAGTGAAAATGTTTTTTGTTTTCATTTTTGATGGTTTAATATTTTTTGGGTAAGTTAAGCATTAGATACATTGATTGTGTTTTATAAATTATTAATAAATAAATAACGCAAATAATTCATTTGAATTATTTGTAATGGTATTATAATGTATATATAAGATGTATGTATAAGAAACAAAAAATAATTCTATATATCTATATCTAAAAATAAATATACATAAATATACATAATCTATATCTATATAAATCTAAATGATTTTTTTCGAAAAATAAAAAATGTTGGTTAATGTAAGTAAATACTGGGTGTGTGTGTGTGTGTTGTGTGTGTGTGTGTGTGTGTGTGTGTGTGTGTGTGTGTGTGTGTATTTTATATTTTCCTTGAAATAATATTTCTGGATCATGATTCTGGCGATAATTTTTTTAAACGTAATAGAAACTTAAATAATTATGATTTCGGAGCATATTAATTTCAATGATCTTTTTGAGAAGGTTTTTAATAATTAGATTATTACAATTTTTATTTTATACAAATATTCAATAATTCACCAAATAATAATGACATGGAAGCATGTTGATAATGTATAGCGGAGAAACTTTGTAAGAGTAGTGTTGCCATAAATAGGAAAGTTTGAAATAGTAGTAGGTAAGTTACAAAGACTTTAGTCGGCAGAGTAGAGTGATTATCGGTCTCATTACATATCCTAGCCTACAAAGCGGTCATCTACGTACGAATTTTCAGACAGATATATCGCAGGCACAATGCAAATTTCGGCTTTTTATAAACTTCTTGGGCATTTTATAATAATACGGCAAAACGCAAGCCTACAATTCGTTTTTCGTTATAAATTAAATTAAAACAAATGGATATGAATGCGATTATTTTTACCAGCATTTCACAATTTACTCAAAACTGTGTCGTAAAAACGTGATATATCAACATTTCAAAATCGCGTTGTTACTAGCAAGTAGCGAGAACATTCAAAAATAGCAAAACAAATGAAGTCTGACACTTGAAACCCAGGTACTTAAGTTAAACCCTAAAAATCCAAACATGCGACACTGGCCTTTGCGGCTCTCTTTCACATGTGGCTCAATTACAACCGCGGCTTGATCTTTGAGAAAATGATACCCCAAAAGGCAAATTTGTTACAGTGGCGCAGTCACGTTTACATTTTCAAATAAGTTTTCCTTAGTTATTTTTAAAAATGCTATACTTGACATATACATGGTGTTTCAAAAAATGTTCCTGTAAGAATTCTTGTAAAGTTAAAAAATAAGGTTAGTTTGGTTAATAAACGTAATCCAAAAACGCATCCTTCAAAAGAAAGAGCTCTGTAAAAGAAGCCCCAATTTTTTTTTTTATTAATCTTGAAACGGTTTACGATACCCAAATAAAATTTAGACCACACATACTTTTGATTGAGTTACGAACTAACTTAGGGAATAATGAATATTTCAGAAACAACAAGTAGTAAAAATATTTTTTATTTTCAAATAAAATGTTTGTTAGAAGCAACTTTTATGATCCAATATTAATTAATTAATAAAGAATGTTTAAAAACGGTTTTTTGGAGTCCCCTTTGAAACTTTACTATTTTATTTTATTCTATTTACTCTACAAATTTAGTGAAATGTGTTTCCAAGTCTTTCCAGTTGATATTTTCTGTCGGGAAAGACAATAGTTCATTGCAAGAAGGAGAATAAAAAGTAACTTTCTGAGCAATCCTGCATGTAATAAAACTACAATTTTGGTTTGTCAAAAAATTAATATCTGGGAACAAAAATCTCCCTCAAGAAAAAGTTATTTGTAGAGAAATTTTTGTCTTCGTCACCAGTAACTCAAATTACATGACATGCTTTTGAGGAAATGCTTTGCGATTCAAAATTTAACAGACTTTTCGAAGGGGATTGATATTAGGTCGCCGCGTAAACAAAAAAAAATCACCAAAAATGACACCATGTGGTGACAAAACTATAAGCCCGCCCCATAGAACAAACAGTCGACAAAGAAGTCACGTGATTAGCATGCCGGGTTAAAATAGATTGGTCCTCCTACATCGCATCAGTCAAAATCAGGACTACAGAGGTGCCGACAGCAATTCATTACTATAGCGTAACGCCCCCGCCTTAATAATATAAAGAGAATCCGTCAAATTCTTTTTTTTGTAAAAGCCGTTTGGCGGCTTAAAAGCTTGCCTAAATAAATTAAACGTGTTGAAACAATATGCACATCTTTGATTATAATTGGAAACGTTTCTTTCAACTTGGTGTCGTTATGCAGCCATAAGAATTTTTTTAGTGGTTTAAACTTTGGAAGCGCGTGATATATATATTTGATATATGAATGATGTGCCTTATACTTTCTCTTTTTTGCTATACTATCAACCACACGACAGTAATTAAAATTAAAATAATTATTAAAACAATAATAATAAATAGGAATTAATTAGCTACAATCAATTGTAGTTTTAATGCTCTCTGGGTTTGAAATCATTATAATAAAAAGAAATTAAACTAATTGTTAAAATATTATAAAATTATAAAAAATTACACTAATTAATTACAATTATGATAGCATTATTGCGTTGGAGATTTGAACCGAAAAGGACAATATCGTCATCAAAATCTTAAAAGGAGATACGAAGTATCCGTTATGTGTAAAGCGTGTTAGCTTTAAAATATCACTTAGGTACGAAGAAACACGCATACCTTTCAGTATCGGTATTACGTGCAGAGTAATGATTTTGTTCTTATTAAATAGTCATTTTTTGTAAACCACTACCCAACCAATCAGAACAATGGTTTTCAGTTGTTCAGTAAGTTAAGTAAGTAAAGAAATACAACTGTCAAAAAAGTCGGAAGACGAGGGGTTTTGCGTGAATATTATTTAACCTAAGGCGCTTTGCTCAAGTGAATAATTAATATATCCTAAAAGGTAATGGCCAAAATGAGTCAATAGACTGACTGAGAATAATGATACCCTTTGTTTTGTCTCCTTAAATGAAAATGTATTTCAGGATCTTAGTGGTATAATTCGAAGTGGGTTAAGATATATAATACATTTTGCACGCGAAATGAGACAAAACGAAACTTGGGTGAACAGCTTTGAAAAATTATTAAAAACATTTTTAAGTTGACTAATATAATATTTGCCTAATAATAAAGATAAAAATTTAAAAAATATTAACGCCACATTTATTAAAATGTACTCGGTTGCAAGTCACAACACTACTTTTATTGTTAAACTTAAAAAATAGCATACACATGCTGGGTCGCATGAGTAGGTATGTTGTATAAATATCTGATCAGATATTTTGTTACTTTCATGAAACTTAAAAATAAAATTTCGAAAAACGTGCCTTCTTGTTTACAGACCACCTGTATTTTACAGTACATATCGGGTGTCCAAAAAATATAAAAGCAGCTTTGAAATTTTAAATAGAAACCCCTATTTTTATTACAGATTCGGAGTCTACATTCTTACATTCTTAAATTTATTATTTCAAAGTTGGTACGCCCGCCAGTTTTTTTATTCAGTATTTAAAGCCAATATATTCCACCATTTTCACAGTGTGTACTTTCACGGTTTCCATACTTTCCGAGCCAAATCTTTTGTTTAAAAACGTCATTCATTGACCAAAAAAAAGAAACATAATAAACAATACCAGAATGGTTATTTAATCGCAGTTATTGCTATTCTAATTGCTAATAGTATATTATGCAACAAGTGCGGTAAACGGCATTTGACTCACGAGTTTATTTGACACGAGCGGAGCGAGTGTTTACTAAACGAGTGAGTTAAAAAGTATACCGAACGTGTTGCATACTATACTTTTTCTACGACCGTTGGTTTTTGGATACATTTTCTCAAAACACGAATACATTCTCTAACATGACTGTCAGAATTGACAAATGTCAAAATTCAAAGCGTGGGAAATATCTCCGAAAATATCCGATTGCTCCCAAACCCGTGCGGTAAAATCCCGGAAATGTCCGAAGTGGCTCGGATTCGTGGGAAACGAAACTGACGTGGTAAAGTGACGCTTCCCGCATGCTAGATCGGTGTATAATTAGATATTTTACAGACGGGAGTAGAAAAAAAAAACCTATACATACACATAGGTTCCAATTTTTCATCTTTCCGGCATCAACTAAATAATTTCCATTTCCATCGCCACCACTGCCTATGTCTAATTTAAGTTGCTTACGCGGCTCAAGGTTCCTTAATTATTGATAGCAGCATTCGACGGTAACGTTTCGTTGTCATTTTTCATTTTTTTCTTTATTGAGGTGGAAATCAGTTTTACGACAACATTGAAGTGAAGTGAAAGCAAAAGAAGCAGTTTTAATATTGTAAAATGGCACCATCAGTGTTTGATGTAAATAATCCCTTAATTCAAACATATTTTTTTTATGGATCTATTCTTGTCTTAAAAGTAATAGCCATGTCGTTTCTGACCGCAAGGCAAAGATTTAAAGCAAAGGTAAGCGAATTTCCTGTCCTGTCATTATATTATATTATGGTTATGATCACGTTACGTAATCATCTTTTTACCAACATCCTATATAACTTGTTTGTTAATTTTTTATTTTACGGCAATAATCAACTGCTGCATGCCTATATTGGTACAACTGGCAAAAATGTATGTATTATAATTAATCTGCTTATTATTATCGATAGAGCGCACATATTTACAAAATGGAAAGGGGCGAAGGAAATGCGTAACCAGTTGCCTACTTTCTGTTTCGATAGATTAAGTTGTACTTCCACAACATATGGATTCCGCATATCTACTCGAACGCATAGGCGGCGCACAAGGAATTCTTACCCTAAAAGTGCTGCAAGATTTCACTCAAACATTTCAAATCCGAATCATTATATTAAGTAAAGGTTTGTGGAGGCTTTCCCAACCAAAAACCATAGCTTCAAAATCTTAAAAAAAAAACTAAAAAAGCATTATATATTTTTTTATATTCTTCATCTTCAAGCGACCCGGAGAATATTTTTGGGCACTGAGTTTGCCACAGATTTCTGGTAACAACAATTTTTGATTTTTTGAAATTTGGTAATTCGGTACATAATTTATATATTATAAAAACGAATGACTTTTTAAAAATTTTGTAGTTACGCAATTTAACAAATTAGTTTTATCTATAAAATTATATTTGTTTTTCAGGCTTTTGCCAATCCCGAAGATACCAAAACTTTGCCTAATGCCAAAGTTAAGGTTGATGAAAATGTCGAACGAGTCAGAAGGTATTGTATATTTGAGCAATGAACTTCCGCGTGTTCCGCGATGTGGGGGTATTTATTTGATCACAGTGAAACAGGGAACCAGGAAAATATAAACAAAAAACACCCTTATGGACTGCATCCGACATCTTGTCTTTTCTAAGTTATGAATTTTATACAGTCAATTTTTAGTTTAAAAAATAAAAAATAATTATCATTACGTAAAAACGGCTAACTGTTGGGACTTTATAGAAAAAGATACGATAAGCTTTAGCATATTCATTCAAGAAAAAACGAAAACAATAACATGTCGATATTTCAATGCAGTAAGGGCATGACTTCAACTTAACTTAACAATATCAAGCTAATTTTCGCAAGGTAAATTCATTCGTAATAATCAAAAGCTGGTTTATTGTATGGAAAACTTTATATAAGTATTCGAGCCAGAGGTATATTAAAGGCATAATAAAAATATATACTTAGATATAACTTTCAAAAAAAAATAAATAAAAAAGACGTAGAATAAACTTCCTGTACAGTGTATAATTTAAAATTCTGATGGTCCTTCCTTTTCAGTTTTAGCTATTATAATTAAAAAGGAAATTAATATATTGATAAAAAATATCCTTAATTGTGATAAAAATTTGGCCATTTTTATACTAAGAGTGGTTACGAAAAATGGTCACCATGTTTATTAATTTGTATTTCAGGGCGCATCTGAATGATTTGGAGAATATCCCAATTTTTTTCGTGGCCAGTTTTGCCTACATCAGTACCAACCCGTCGGTTTGGCTCGCAACTAATCTGATAAGGGCCTTCACCATTGCCAGATTCGTGCACACCTTCGTTTACGCAGTTCAGGTTGTACCACAACCATCGCGAGCTTTGGCATTCGGAGTGGGCGTTTTGGTAACCGTCTACATGGCAGTAACAAGTATTTTATACTACTTGTAATTTTTCATTTTAATATGTCCTTTTTTCAATATGTTTTTAATAAATGTGGTAATAGTAAAACTTTTTGGCTATAATATGGATCACGCGATGTGGATCGGCTAAAAGTTCCTACGTTCCACAAACCGAGAAGCCAACTGTTTCTTTAAAAAATTACGCCTAACGACAATAGGTCTAACAAAACAGTTCACCAAATTACTAACATGTCATGTAAAAAATGGTGGTAAAGCAAGCAGACAATTGCAACCGAAATAATAATTCTAGTTTCTTTTACTAAGCTAATATGTTATGTTACAATTTTTTCTATCCGTTGCTATGCTATTATTTATTAGAATATCATTACTTTGTTAACTACATCGCGAGCCACTTCGGACATTCCCACGGCTTTGGGAACAATAGTATATTTTCTATACATTTTAGCCATGTTATTTTGGTATTTATCAATTCTAATGGTCAGACCACACGTCACTCTGTGGATGGATTCGTGCTGTTTTGCAAAAAATACTAATGGCCTTAGACGAAATACAGTGTGCAACGCGTTGACAAACTTCTCAAGTCACTCGTTTATTCAACACTCGTTCCGCTCGCGCCAAATCAAACTCGTAACTAAAATGGGGTTATTCTATATTCTTATTGATAGAAAATCAATCAGACCTAACATTGAGTCATTCTGTTTACAGAAAACCTACGCACACAAACCGATACATTAATGCATTGTCACATCACCGTCTAAAACCGAATTATCGTTTATTTTTCAATATTCTATATATTTACCCTAAAAATTAACACAAAGTTTTTGGAAGCACCCAGTAATTTCATAGGTTATGAAATATGTGTGTTTTTGGTGAGGAATTTCGGAAATTGGATAATTAATATAATCTTCGAAGATCAACAAATTTTATTTTGGAGGTAATACATAATTTTTAAAGAATTAGTTGCCAACCACAATTTAATTTTACATTAAACTAATTAAGCAACACCAGACCCGATAGATGATGATATGGTAGTCAGTCAACACATTTGGTAACCATGTGCTAGATGTCGGATTAACAGTAATCTAAGTGCTAAATCAGTTTGTATAAATCCAATTACCTTGTCACAACATTAGTTGTCTTACTTTATTAGGAGGCACAGGTTTTTTTTTGTATTTTACGATTAATTGCTTTAATATTAAAAACTACCCGAATTAGGAAACTCATTTTTCGACGCTGCAAATAATAATTGTTTTTGTTTAAATAGAATTTTTGACAATAAATAAGAACTAAAAGTTCACATTTTCACTAAATTTCGTAAAAATCTGAACTTTTAGTTCTTATTTATTTTGATAAATCGATTTTCATCAAGTAAAAGCCACCTCAGTTCAAGAATTTTTGAAGCGAACAGTTGCGCTTTCAAATACTTATCAGTCCAACCCAGTTCATGTTAATTATTATACAGTTATTAAAATCTTACTGCCTGTTGACACTTGCAACTTGATTTCTTCACTCCTACATTCTCCACTGTTATTTTCAAGTATTGGTACGGTAATCTATGACGTATACTTTTTAAAAATCTTCTTTTTTAGATTTCCCAGAACAGTATAAGATAAGTACCCACTTCATAAATTTACTGCGCCCTTGAATTTTAAGTTCGAAGTAAAATTTATGATTTACGAGTATGTCGGTTTTTCGCTGCGATAAGTAATTAAGTGATAACTTACCGATGTCATGTAGGTACTTTTTTAAATAACCGAGATGAAAATCCTTGAGGGATGAATTATATATATATATATATATATATATATATATATATATATATATATATATATATATATATATATATATATATATATATATATATATATATATATATATATATATATATATATATATATATATATATATATATATATATATATATGTACTATATATATTATATATACATTGTTATCCTTTTTTTCAAGCCAGCTGTTTTTGCGTATTTGTTCTCCGAAAATACCATTGCCTCTACTTTTATGATTTACTCACTTAATAGCACATTATTAAATAAGTTTTATAAACTTCACCTTAGTCATGAGTTTGTTTAACCAATAGCGGAGCACAAGGGATCGATGCTCAATAAATTAGTATCTGAAGAAGTTATTCAATGTGTTGCATGCTATATTTATTTGCGACCATTAATTGTTTGATGTTTGATTTTTGCAAAACAGCACGAATATATTCACTAAGTGACGTGTGACGTGATCGTCAGAACTGACAACCGCCAGAATAACATGGCTCCCAAACCCGCCGTAGAAAAAGAAATTGACGTGGTAAAATAACACTGTCCGCGCGTTAGATCCGTACATCATTTTTTATTTTAGAGAAGAGAGTAGAAAAATATAATTATAATGATAATGCTGTTTTATTGATCTATATAAATGACAAATGCATGTGTTGCACAAGTCAAGAAGTAAAGAATAAAATAAATATAAAAAATTATATAAAACACAGGACAGATACAAAATTTAAAACGTATATTATAACTGCTTGCACACTCTACGTCTCAGAAAAGTATTCTTTAAATTCATTTAGGTCATAAAATGGCTCTGTTTCCAGAATCGCTTTCAATTTTTTTTAAGCGGAAAGATTAGGAGCCTCTCGCAACTCTGAAGGTAATATATTTAAGAGAAGACAATCTGTATTTCCAGTCAGGTATTTATTTGTGTCCCCTACTTTGTGATATAAATATCTACCCTCATTTATGTAAAACAGAATCTTCAATAAGTAAATGCTAATAAATGTTGGTGGCTTATGTTTTTTCAACATCCGGTCTACATGATTTTAGAGAATTTAAGCTAAACATTAATCTAATGATTCTCGTTCGCGAGATGAAAACATTTCGCATCGACAGCATGTGCTTTAAAACAGTTTAATAACCGACGTTTCTTACAAACTGTTTCAAGTGGATCAACCCAATTTAAATTGCTGTTTATGGACTGCACCGTATTTTCGGGTAACAAAACCTGTTACTGATCTATATTGCGAAATTTTTAATTTCCGTTCTTGAAGAGACACATGGTCTTAGACTTATCCAGCATCAACCTATTTCTAAAGCACCAATATTTAAATTCTGGAACAACCAGCCTTTTGGCATAATTCCTCGACCAATGCCCATATAATGATCGATGTAGCATCAGTAAATAAGAACACCTTCGTTTATAAACATGAGGAATAAGAGTGGGCCCAAAGAAATGCCCTAGGGCATTCCAGTATCGACGTCATTCTCAAACGAACAAAGATTATTGGCTCTGACAATGAGCTTTCGGTCCTTAAAATATGACGCAATCGAGTCCCCAATTTTGCCCCGCATGCCCTTTATTTGAACCTTATACACAATGAATCCAACATTTAGATAGTCGAACGCAAGTTAAAGAAAAATTCCAACACGTGCTTCTCTCCAGTAAATCATTAATATGTTGCACAAAGCCAATTGTAGCCGTCTCAGTAGAATGCCCTTGCCGAAAACCATGTTGTTCATTGACTAAGATTTTATTTTTAGTTAAAAATTGATTTAAACGTGAGGTTATAGATTTTTCTATAATTTTGGATATAGTACTCATGAGAGAAATGGGCCTATAGATTTCGGGTGACATCTATGAATAGGTACAACCAAAGAGTTTTTTTAAAAAGAGGGAAACTCTCTAACCTCAACGGATATATTGAGAAGTTAAACAATTATTGCCGCAAATTCAATTTTACATTTTTGAATGAATGAATTTTTTGTTTGGCAATTCGCAACTTATCTTTTCAATTTCATCAATACTGGTGGGGACAAAGTAGAAATTTTCCACGAAAATTATCCCTGTAGTACAGGACAGGAATCGGACAGGCCTCCATCAAGCAACAATCATGGAAAAAAAGTCTCAACTATTTCGTTGTTATCTATGACGACGGAACCGCTGTCGCTAAGCTCAATGGCGTCTTTTGTAATCCTGTTTCTATTTAAACTCTCGTTTACCACTTTCCACAAAGTCTTCACCTTATTGCTACATTCCATTATTTTGTTAGTGTAAAGTCTTTCTTGTATCAGTATAGTATATTATGCAACAAGTGCGGTAAACGGCATTTGAGTTAAGAGTTTATTTGGCACGAGCGGAGCGCAGTGGAGCGCGTATTCAATGAAAGAGTGAGAAGGCCTAGCAAAAGAAATCCCAAAATTGTGAAAATGTTTCATTTTCGTTCAAATTGTAATCTATGGTGAAATCGTTTATTAGCAAATTTTTAAACTGAGCTATGTTGATTTCGGTAAAATTTCGAAAAATGTACTATATTTTCTTATACGCATTGGAACAGGTGTTATTTTTTATCGATATTATTTGCGCGCTATGGTCGGAACAATCTGCATTGCTGTTCTGAATATTAATATTGTTAATGGCTAGATTTGATATCACATAGTCCAAACCAGGCGCCCACGTACCGGAAATTCTGGTTGCTTGATCATTCTGAGAAATCATCGTAACCGTCCAATATGTCAAAAAGGTATTTTTTTGTGGAGTGTTAGTTAAAAAATTAATATTAAAATCTAGTAATCTATCCATCCAGAATCCTACAAAGGTGAGCAAAAAATGTATCAATATTTCCAACATTTCCATTGGGAGACCAACAGTCAGCACACACAAAGAGTATAATGCAATATACAGCCCAGAGAGCTCTCGAAATCAAAGTGCACTGAAAGGGAATCAGCAGGTTTTAAATGTAACATGGAGGCAAGGTAGATTTGCTTAGTATGACAGCTTTTACTGTTTCATTTTTCAACCAGTGCTCTGTAACACAAAGGAGCAATGCTTCATGTATATTCAGAAAAGTTTCTAGATAGTTCAATTTCTTTGAAATACTCTGTATATTAAAATGTATAATTTTACTTCCTCCGGCTTATCGATGTTATCGGGCCTACTGATGATTGTCCTGTGAAAATTCTTCTTCTTTGGAAATCGGTACCTATTATCATAGGCATTGGGTGGCCATATATAAGGGTTATAAACATCTTTCACGTTTGTGGGGTGCAGTCACCTGCAGATGCTGGACTAGATTGTCTGGAGTAAC